TCGAGACCTACAACTCAAGCAGTTTTACCACCCTTCAACATCATAAGACCAACAAGCATAACAATTTGTCCAAAACGCTGTTTCCTGTATTGCCAACTGAGTATAAGAATGTGTCCAAATATATGTCGGAATTGTTATACATTACCTGAATAAAATGTTATCTCGAATGTAGATTGGTTTTTACTCTAGCAAATCAAGAAATTCAAGTCTAATCAAGTTGGCAGGTAACGTGTCTAAATGGATGTCAATGAGTAAAATTATATTATAATATTATATTAAATTCAATGACTGCATGCAACTTGCGACAACTGGGAGAATCTGGATATAGTCGACCTGATCGCACAGACGCTAGAAAAAATATCGCAGTTGCCGCAAGTTTCAGTGACAGCTTGTGTTCTACAAAACAGACATATTCTGGAACTGAGCGGTCGAAATCTGTAACCATCTAGTTGCTAGTAGTTAGTCAATATTTCGATGACCGTTTCGCTTATTCTGACCCCGGCAGATCTGTTGCATTTAATCAACAGTCGACCTTAACCCATCGAGGCCAGTGGCTGCTCAACTATCACAGGGACTGGTTGAACCAAGTCCACGGGACCCTGCCCAAAAGGTGGCCCTCACACCCAGCAACTACGCTCTATATCAAGACCACTTCCGGTTTAAATATTGAGAATCAATGTTTGTCACGTGGATAACGAAGAAGAGTTTAAATATAAAATAGGAACGTTATGACCTGCTGATTATTGCACAATGCAAACCATCAGCTCTAATGACAAAATAATTGTTAATGGATGTGACATCAAGTTAAAATTCGTCGTATATTTAAAATCAATATATGTGTAGGTGAAATAAATAAAGTTAATATGTAAACTATGGTGAATATTGATTGAAGAGTCACAGATGGTAGAGGTATTAATAACAAGTTCGGTGACAAATACCAAGCCAGGATAAGGTGAAGGGACTGCTTGATTGAGTCAATCTGTACGATTTTATAATCTGTCAACTTTCTTTTGTTGTTGGATAATGGAAACAGGTAGGTTTTGAGAATACTTTAAACTGGCATTTCGTGAAGAATATCTAAATCTGGACTCCAAATTTCCATTTGAATACTTTATCCAGAGACGCTTGAGCATCAACCCTGAAATTTGCTAAGATTTTACTTTTTATCCCCGTAATAGGATATATCTAGAAGGCTAATTGAAAACACTTTTGACAATCGGACTGTTTTTTGAAAAATTGATGGTAAGAAACAAATAAACAAGGGGATGGCATGAATGAAGTTAGCAATAAAGGGATTGAATTAAAAATAAAACAGGGTCGATGTGAAATGGAATAATAATCTAGAGGTTGACATGAAAATAACTTGAGGTTGACTTGGAATTGACTCGACATGAAATAAACTAAGGTTTGACATGAAAATAACTTGCATGGTGTTGACGTGAAATTGACTAGACATGTAAAAAACTAGGGGTTGACATGAAAATAACTTGCATGGTGTTGACGTGAAATTGACTGGACATGAAATAAACTAGGGGTTGACATGAAAATATCTTGCATGGTGTTGAAGTGAAATTGACTAGACTTGAAAATAAACTAGGGGTTGAGGCAAGAGTTTATAGATTGGAATAGACTAGTTAACATGACAAAATCTTATGAACTTAAGGGTTGACATAGAAAGGACGATAGACACGAAGTAAACAAAGTGTTGAAATTTACTAGAGGTTGACACGAAATTTACCAGAGGTTGGCACGGAATTTACCAGAGGTTGACACGAAATTTACTAGGGAAAGACATGAAATAGAATTTTGTACTGTCATGGAATAAACAGATTTACATGAAATGACATGAGGTATGCAATAAATGTATATGGTTTATAACAGCTGTTGTATAATATTCTATATGGTATGATTATAATTATAGATATGTTGTAATATTAATATGACAGAGGAGGCTGATGTCTTTATAATGGACGATACAACAGAGGATGATACGTAAGTTACCGCAAATACTTTCCACAAGCATACTTTAAGCTATAGACTTGAAGTAAATTTGGGGCAATTTATTACTTGAGAAAGCTGAAAGCTTGACATCGATGGTGTTCAAGTTTGAACACAGATCCCAAAACTAACTTGTATATTATGTCTATACTTACGCCTCCGTCCCATCCACCATCCCTTCCTGAATTGTTGAATCGGGAATTTGACATCAACTGGCTTTCTCTCATTTGGAACTGCACTAACATTTAAAACGTGTCAGATGGTTGGATGGCACAATATACCGATCCCTGTGTGCCGCAGCCTTGATAATTGGAGATGAAAAAGTGTAGGCTTATACCATTAATCGACTTCATTAACCCAAATCAGATATAGAAACTTATTGCAAACTAATTTTGTCTCATTTTCTTTTCAGTATACGAGTTGGTGGATTTCGATTAGACGGTATGATATTTATATTCTGTGGTTTAGGATTGTTATTATTTGTGGTATATTTATTATGGAATTCACAATGTTCCTCAAAAACACCCGACATGGACGAACGTCAGAAAGAAATCATCAAACCATCACATCTGTTTGCATACGAACTTGAACCAGGTGTAGTCGTTATGCAGAGTAAAGACGGAGAATTTTTTAGAATCCTTCACGAATATGATCCAGAGACACGCGGCACTAAACATTATGGAGCTAGTCCACAGACAGTACAGATGGAAGGGACACCAGTTCATTATATACCACATTACACACGACCAGTATTACAGACACAGGCTACTGCTCCTAATGCTGATCTAATGGACTTACGACAACCATTTTCTGATAATTATGTATCTCAACCTCCTCCTTATTCACCCACTGTATATAGACAATGATTTCGATCTTTATCAGATCAGCAATGAGGGTCATATTTTGCATGATCATTAGTGACCCCATATTCATAGAGCTTTCATATAGATCTAAGACATTCGGAATACGCAAGATTAAATCCTTGATATTTAATATAAAGAAAGAAGCGTTTTACGATTTTACAGATTTGTATTAATAATTAATTTGTAACGTGATATTTTGGGGTAAATATTTTACGATTTGGTGCCTGAGGAAAATCGTTGAAGATACTCTGATTTGGTATTCTAAATTGGTTGTTTGATATATTATGCTGTGAATATTTTATTTTGAGAAACCTATTTTAGGCTTCTTTTAACAATAGTCATTGTACCTAGGTTTATGTTATATATTTGTCTGTATTGTTATCCCTCAATTCAAACGTTTAATTTTCTATAAATGAAATAAATTTTATTGTAAAAGGCTTCAAAAGGCACTAAAAGAAAGTTAACATTCATGGTGTAAATCAAATATTGCACAAGTACACCGAGCAATATTTTAGAATCGGAAGTTATATTTAGTCACAGGATAGGCGTTCTTGGTTAGAATAAATATGTTTAGTCATATTAGAAAAATGAACTATGAGATATTTGGTAGCATGTCAGAAATTTGATGTTATTTAATGGCGCAGATGACACTGGTAAACCCTGGACATTTGATCTACGAGTATAAGTTGTATTTTACACTATGACGTTAGAACCAGACGGAAGTACATTATGTCATGTGGAATTATAATGCGTTTGGCTGAAGAGTTTTTTTACCCCAAGATTAGCATCCGGTGATTTTCGCTTGTAATTATATATATATGATATGATATAAAATTAGCAAATACCTCTACATATTTGGTTTAGTCCTTAGCCTGCTGACAGATCGGACATGAAGTAAGCGTATGGTATATATAACACAATGCATGCTCTTGATTCTATTAGAACAATAAAGAGCAAAAACGCAATTGAGTGAATCTCAGTTTTTCCAAAGTTCTTCAGACAACTATATAGACAACAAATATAATACATCTATATTATATTATCACACAATACAATAAAATATCAATTCAGTTCACATCTTCACCAACATTTCTTTTATTCGCAAGTTAAAATTAAAGCAAGTATAGTTAATTATAGATAAAATATCAACTGGACAATATATTTCTTGACGCTGTTTCGTCATTTAACTGGTCATCTACAAAAGAAAAAGATTAAGTTTAATTGTTTCATGTATGGCGCCGAATAGCTCTATGCTGATAGAAAATATCGATAAATAGCTTTAGGGAACAATAAAACGTTGGACAGAAGTATATAAGCTTAGCCATGGCATCTTCACAATGTCAAGCTATTACGAACTTCGTCTTATACCTTGACTGTAATAGTCAACTTTCTTGTATCTTGCAGTCAAGGTAGACTAAATTCCTAATCGCTTGTCATTGTGAAGATGGGTCACGGGGGGACAAACTATTTCTAAGTTACTTTAAACAAATCTTCCTTTAGGGAAATATTGAGACGTATTCGCCAGATGGACGTGTTTCAAAACCTCGCCGGACTTTATATTTGTCAACTAGATTTAACAGATTTAATTGGCCATTCACAGTAATTTTATTTTAAATCTAATTAATCTCAACTGAAATTCCCTTCAGGATTTACCTACGCCTGCATATGTCTCTAGATTGAATTTGTAGTTGAAATGTGTTTGTCTGATACCATACACAGTTTTGTTTACTGCGTAATTGATCAAACAATCTTAGAAAAGACAACTTTGCCTTTGAACTTTTCATCCCAACTTCCGTTTGCTGGCAACTAGTAGTTGTTTCAATGAAGGCAATGTTCGCTACGCCACCATTAATCTGATGAAATTCTTCAGCACTACGAGTCCTGTGTTCTTTATATATTCAACCAATCGTAAGTCATGTTCATTAAAAGCTTAGTCCGCCATACTTGTGGAATTGAGTGATATTTTATTGTTATATTACGAGTTGCAATGTTTCTGATTCTTTGAACGCGATTCAAAGAAAAATATCACAAGATCATAAATGAGGAGCGTTGTTAGTAAATAACAGAAATGAAAAAATAAGAAAATTGATGATGGGTAGAAAAGTTATTTAGTCCTCTAAGATTCAAAATTTGATTAACAGAGTCATTGTAGGGTATAAAGAAAGCTTCGTAATTGTTGGTTTGAAAAGAACAGAATTGGACTATTGAGTTATAGAGTTATATAGTTATAGAGAGAAGCGATACGTGCTGTATCAATGAAACTTTTGAACGTTAACTAACCTATATTTCAATCACAAGTACCAAATTGAAATTTTACGATCTTTTTCTTTAGCTTGGCTGAAAAAACTTCCGTTTCCGTTTACCACAAGTATGACCATTACACAATCAAAAACTATCAGTTATGTCATTGTTGACGTCCAAGATGTTTGTTATTTTCGTTGAAAAGAAGGAATGAAGGAATTCAGAGCCTGACACGTTTCAGATTTAAATTGATCCTATAATTATAGCTTCTGATAAAGTGAGAAAAACGTTTAGAAACGACTGAATAATTGTAGTTATTGCTGAAGCAGTCCAGCCGTGTAAATGTCTAGCCAAATTGAATAAGTACATGTTTTTATCCTGTTTTCAGACTAGATACACGTCAGATGGCATGTTCTATATAGAGATGGGCGTAGACCTTCGATAAGAGGAAAACTTAGTCGATTTTCAAATCCTTTTGAGTCAATCCTACAATGAATTTTAAGTGTTGCACCCAAAAATTTTTTTTTTTATTGTCGTCTTTAATGGCCACAATTCATAACCGTGATATGCTGCAGAGCGCCAATGTAACTTTCAAGGTTGGCCGATTGGTGCGGTGCGGACTAAAGCATCTAGTCGGTTGCGTTCGGTATTTTTTTCTCGGAGTCTTCAGAGAGTGAGGTTAAAATGAACTTACCAGTGGCACATAGATTTACATTGGATAAAATTCATTCTTCCTCCAGCTTTTAAACAGTTGTTTATACAGGGTCCTATTCCACGTTTTGAAAGAGTTTGTTGAGAGGATCTTGGTGAAAAGGAATTATCTCTTAAAAGATAATTTAAATATAATTTGGTCAGAAGTGGAGATCCAAAATTTGGTATATCATCATAGCTTAAATCTAGTTCATTATCTCTTGCTAAATCAACTGAAAAATACAAAGATAAATCAACTAAGAAAGATTATGGTGGTTTGAATGATGATCCTCCTTCCCCCAAAAAATCCGTCGATACCACTTTTTGAGTTTTGATCACAAAGGAAGAATATAGATAATTTTTCGTGTTAAAAAAGAAAGCAGGGCTGTTTGGTTTTGGTTTTTTGTTTTCTGTGATGTTCCACCTTCCCTCAGAGCAATTGCACTACATAAGTCATACCCGTCTTCGTGAGCAGCAAGTTTTGAAAAACATTGGTACTGAAGCCAGTTTAGCTCTTTAAGTAACGATTGTCTAGAATCTGATAAGAAGGTGAAGAAAATGACAAGCAATATTGACAACATTAAAGTTATATTAGCTTATCAAGAAACTTAATAGATCAGACAATTTATAAATACTATGTTAATAAGAATTTTCCGGGAATGGTTCCCGAGAGGCCATCAATGCCCTTTAACTTAATAAACCATATAACATTAAATCATGTGTAACGTGTAATAAGTAATTATCTAAATAACGCCACTTAAATTCCCTTGAGTCTTGTTCCCGTCTCTTAACTTCTTACTCTTATTTACTGAAAGTGTAAACCAGTTTGAATCATTAAATTTATATTCCTTTTTCCTCATTTTGACAACTGTGTTTAATTTTGATTGAAGGGTTGGTATAAAAAGTTAATGTATGCCTATTGTGGCCTGGAGCTTTTCATGACGTAACTATTTTTGCGATAGTGACCTCAGAAATCATGGTAAAAGCGGTATCACAAGAACCACAAACGTCTGACTGAAACTGGAATGATGCAAGCCAAATCTACCACTGTTCCCGTTACACATACAAAGATAGATAATCTGCCCCCCCCCCCCCCCTCCTCTTCACCGTTAAATTAAAAAGAAAGCATACAGTTTATACAAAACTAGTCTTTAGATGTCATCTGCAGTAGGCCTACAGACGGAAGAGAGGCCTAACATGAAGGCCTAATAACATGAAGTTGTTCATGTAGCCTATTGTAACAAGAGGTATAATAATGACTGATGCTTCGATTCTCCCTAACAAACACTGAGGAATTGATTGAACGCTTATGGGGCCCCATCACCAGACACCGGACAAAAATGCAGGAAAGCAGATTATGTTTTCGAAAAAAAAAACAATTCCAGAGGAAGGGCCCCCCCTTCATCCAGTCTAGCCACTGATTGGCAGAGTAATACACATTTTGTTCTAGAAATATTCCAGGGACCAACTGCGGATTTGAGAGAGAATTTTTTTATTTATTTTTAGACTATATTTACACATATACAAAAGTTGTGGTTCATGATCAATAATATCATCATTTCCAATTCCCGCGCAAATATTCACTTCCGGTTTGAGTGCTTGTTGGTGGTTTTCAATACCCTCTGGGCTTAGTCTGAAGAGTTGATGTTGGGATACGCATTAAGTATTATGTTGAGTTTCTCCTTGTAATCGGTAGCAATGAATTTTAAAATTATGAACGTAGATTTAAATAAGTCTGTGGAATCCATCTCAATTATTGTAATAGCTTATAGTCTCAGTCCATCCAAATAACATAGTATTATGATAATCTGTATCTTAAATAATATAATTTGAATCCAATTGTTTCTTCAACTTATTGGTCATAATGCCTGTCTGTGAATAGATAGGTCCACCTACATGAAAATTAAAGTCTTTGGACGTCTTTGAACTTTTGAGCGTCTTCTATCATTTTACCCACGATTCCTATTTCTTTTGTACGAGCACCTGGCAATCAGTCGAGTTCTTTGACGATATTTCGTCCATGTGATTTGAAAATGTTTACGTGAATAATATTCGATTTTGATGATCTATTTTACAAGCGCCTATAAGGCACAGTCATGAGTGGTTTGGTAGAAAATTTCCACGACTTCAATTCTCCTTTTCTTTTACATCAGCCTGCTATTAACTATTCGGCTCTTGAGATTGTAAATAGTAAAGACGAAGTAGTTATTTGATTTTGCTGCCTTCCCAAATATATCCATCTGCAGAAAATTCTGACTATTCTAGATACGTTCTTCTTATTATTAGGCAATAACAATTATTTTGGATAATCCAGTGGAAATCAGTGTTCGATCATTGATATCTGGAAACCGGATATATTATTCCAAAAGATTTAATACATCTTGCTCTCGAGACTTTTTGACATGTTAACCATTAATCAGTTTCTATAACTTCAAATCGCAACGACATCTAACAAAATCAACATAGTAGTCACGGAATGGGTCTAATAGCTTTCCTGGGTGGCGCTCGATTGGAGAGTTCTACACATTCGGGATTCTTGGAATCAACCGGACGTTCAATAAAAACAAGTTGGAACAGAGTTCAGAACGCGTCCTTCGTGTACCGCAAAAATAGTAGATGCAGACAAAATTTAAACTGGCAGAGAAGGAAAGATGGAAAAATTTTGAGTGTGACATATTCCACTTCCGTATCGTTCGATTTAGGATAGAATTGGAACAGACAGAACTTGTTCGGAACTCTCCAATCGAGCGCCAACTGAAAATGGACAATACAGGCGGGTGCCCGTACCTCCTGTCCAAATAATAGGCGCCAATAGCACCAAAAATTATCTAACTTTAGAAGTTCAATAAAACAAATTGGAACAGGGTACTGAATGCTTCCCACCTGTGCCGAAAAAGTACGTGCCGACAGTATTCAAAATGGCGGAGAAAGGAACAGAAGAGTTAATTTTGAATGGTGACCTTCATACCGTTCGATTGAAGCCAGAATTTGAACACGCGCCACCTGTTCAGAACTAACCAATCGAGCGCTAGTTGAAATAAAAATTAGAAAAGTTTCAAATTCAAGGGATATAATAGAATAAATAATTATTTTATTAATAATAGCAAGTATTTAAGGCTTGCATTTTTCTGTTTAAGCTTTTAAATGTTTTGAATCAGATCATTAAATGTATTTAAAGAATATTTATCCGCAAACAAATTTTGATTTAATGAAAACCTTTATCCTTGTTCAAACTTTTATTAATCGTAATGGTGTAAATAAAAAACCTTCGCATTGTTTTTACGTGATTTAACGAAGCCAAATTATCATGCAAGATCTAACTACATGGGCAAATGAGGCAAATGCACTAAGCCTAATTATGGTATAAAAAATGAAAATTGTACAAAAGATATTCTAAATATGTTGCTTATTTGATATCTGTATCAAATAAAGGCGGTTAGCGTTTTAAGTCTACCGAAAACGTTTTGATTTAAAGACAAATGGATTTTTGACTCCAGATGACACACCGAACTGATAATATGCAAAGGATACACCTTTAGTATTATATACTAAAATCAATAAGAACAATTTTGCCATTACAGCGATTCAAAAGAGGTATTCTAGACATGCGATATTTGATCAACAGAAGGCGTCTGCGGCCCATGTAATTCTAAAGAAAGAACAGATTTTAACGCCAGTATTAGAATTGTGATTGCTTTAAAGTGCTGTCACAATCTCAGTCTTTTCTCCGACGTGTAGTAAAAAGCTTTAAGATTATCACGTGAAAATTAAGAAGCAAGAAATCCTCCCTTAAACCCCTCTTCAGTTTTACAAAAAAACCTTTACAGAGCAGTATTTAGAAAATGTGAAAAAAAAAACGAACCTGGTAGTGCTGATATGAGATATAACATACAGATACTGATGATACTTGTTACTGCTAGCTTACTCATCCTCAATTCTTTCTTCTACTAAAAACTTTTCAAACTTCTATTGTATAGTGTATGATGTCGTTATTGTCTCAAAGAAAATGAAAGACCGTTTGCAAGACGATTCCTTAAATAAGTGATTAGTCCAAGAAAGAAACCCGTGGTCACGTCTGATTCTGAAGGCGTGTTTTATTTCTGACGTTGTTTAATGGTAATTAGGGAGGGAGTAAGAGGAGGTGCCACGGACGGTTAATCACGATCTGAAATAACTTGTTAAAATATTATGATTAGATGGAAGTTAATTTACTCCCAAAGACCACTTTGATGTCATTCTTAATGGAATTGATGATCTATAGATATCAGGAAACGTGCGTAGTGGACAATTTACTGCAGGTCCCCGCCATTCCATGATTGCAAAGTCGGTTATTTCCAGATTATCATTAACAATTTAGGTTACGGACCGTGATGTAATATTCTGTTCGGACACGATCAGATCGGTTAGTTGTTGGACATACCAGTTGTCGGACAATGGAATAAGCAAAGCATCGCTTAGAATAAGACTCCATCCAAATACACATGCAATGCACATGCTCGGTGTTCATTTAAGGCCTTACGCGTGTTGTTGATGAAGGAAATTTTGATTTAAAACACTTGGTTAGCTACTTGTCCCACAAAACTTCAATTTTGGCTAATGGATTAAATGTGTTCCGTTTGTAGACTCCAAAGCCTATAGCCGCGTTTAGACAGCCATAAAAACTGGCCCACTTGAAGTGAACCGTATTCGACTCCGGACTCGGCCCGGTTAACCTGTACCGTTTACACAGCACTGTTTTCACTGGGCCAAAATCAAAAGCAGATCTGCTCTCCAGTCAGAGGAGGCGAAATAAACACAAACATACAAAATGGCGCCCGCTATAAACAAAGCTATGATTTTTAAGTTTTTGTTGGATTTGTCTCGTTTAAAGCACAAACGAACCTTAAGTAAAGTAGGCTCTTGACGATTGATTCATAAATCTTGTGATTATCACGGGCACCTTCCAATTGAACTTAGACGATCTCGTCACCCCAAATAGCGATCAGAGCTTCGGTCTCTTCATCACTCCATGTAGCTCCCCGTTGGACACACATTTTAATAGTAGGTCGATCCTTTTTTGTCAAAGTTTAGCCTAGTTTGTTGTTCCCGCGAATAAAGTAACAGGGTCAAGGTCATTATTGCGCATGTGCACAACCTAATCGGTCCGGACCGAGACCACCTCTTCTTGCGGGACTCTGCCCACTTGAAACTAGCAGGTGCCGAGCCCTCTCAACCCGTTTACACAGCCACTTTTTGTGCCGAACCGTACTCGGACTGAGTCCACAGTCCGGACCTGGCCCGGATAAATTGTGGCTGTCTAAGCGCGGCTTATGACTTCCAAAATAATATTTTAATAAAAATAAGATACGATGTATCTGTTTATTTTAAGACTAACCAGTCCATATTAGTTATTTTAAAGTTTGTAACGGCGAGCGTTGCTCATTATTACTAGATTTGGCTATTATTCTCATGAACAATCTACAATATAATTTGCTAAACGTGGTGATAAATTTTGTAAAGAGGAAGGAAGAAGAGCTATAGAAAGTGTAACAAGTAGAGGTAGGAAGGTGACAGTGGCGAAGGACAGATATATGGCGTGTAGAGAGAAAGAATAGTCAGGGGATTAGAGAGAATAATTATATTGAAAGATTTAAAGTAGGAGAAAGAGAAACATGGGGAAGGAGAGAAGAAAGAAGTGAAGTGGCTAAGGTTTAAGGGAAGGAGAAGAGATAATTAAGGGAACACCATGAGGGATAGGGGAATTGGAGCCCACCAGGTAGGTAGAAGAGAGAGGGTGAGAAAGAGAATATTAATGAAGTAGGTTGTTGGCCTATTTGAATGGAACGGTAAGACTAAAAGGTACGGGAGTGTGATGATCGAAGAAGTTCGACTGGATGACAGAGACCAGTCCAGAGTTCCTTGTAAAGAAGGGCCGGGTTTATGGGGCACACCTGCAAATTGATAAGCACTCAATGTACTTCTGAGCTATGCTTCGAATAACAGTAGGCCTACTCGGAAGACCTAACTTGATGGAAAGCAGTCGCCAATTTTTCTCACTAGAGACCTGACAAAAATTGGATTTAAAAAATTTTCATAAGTAGCTTCAGTGGTCAAATTAGATTGCAATGAATTACTTCCCTTGAAATAAAACATAGGCTAGGTTCGATTCGTATTAAAAATTCAAAATGTTCCGATTGTACACTCCAGATGGAGCACACCATTGTCGTGATAAATTTTAATTTGACTTAATCAATGGAAAAGCCATGACTTCTGTAGGTTCTGCTCTCCGATAATTCGCCATGACTATCAAGAAACGAGTTCTTCATGGCACACTTTGATTGGTTAAAAATAACCTAGATCTCGACTGCGATGGAAAACTTGTTAGATTAGGCTAAGCCTACAATCGAGACAAAAGATATAAAGTCTATAATATAAATTTAATAAGATGCTAGCCTAACTGAAGCCGCTATTCAGGATTCTCGAATGTAGAGACATGACGTCACGAATCTTGACGATGATGACGTCAATTCCAGAATTGTGCATGACGCCATATTTAGAATATCATGAACGAAAATATTCATGATAGGCTTACATGATTAAACAAAATGAAATCTGTCAAAATTGATATAGATGATGGATTTTCCAGTGGATCATCTGATTCAGTTCCATTAATTACAAAAAGTAAGTAGCGTAGTCTTATACGTTGACCTACTAGGAGGCTAGGTGGGCCTATGTTCTGAATGATTCATCAGACAGTAGGCGTAGGCCTAAAATATAGGCTACTAACCTAGGCTAACCATAGGCCCGGGCTAATCATTACATGACATACATTTACATAGCTTAGATGTCTTCGACTTCTTCATCAATGTCATCGATAATTAACATTATAACGAAATTTATGATATTTAGGCGTAGTGTCAAACACTAAGAGGCTACGTGTACGGTCTGCAGGTTCTTCTTTTTCATATTCCAGAGAAAAAGGATGATTCGATGTTTGTAAAGTTTACGCAATCTGCCCCAGAACAACATTCTAAAGTTAAAGCTGTTATATGTTTTCCTATTGGATGTGCTGTTGGCGTTTGTACGTATCTCCTAATGATTAGCTTAACCATTTGTTAAAAAGTTGAGGAATGATCTACGAGTACGAGAATCTGCATCGTCAATATGTAAGATTAGACTCTGAAGATGAGGACTTAAGGAAGCTTTGAACCCTTAAAGATTTCACATGGCTCTGTCAATAACCAACGTGAGTCTGTGTCCAAACTCCGAGGACAACTAGGCCCTATACCGTACAATACACTGCTTATACCAAATACAATGTTTTATTAAATAAGTGCAATTGTAGGCTACCCGAAGTTGGATTTTTAACTGGAAGATGGTAGGTCAAACAAATAGGGCATCTAAGCTTATATGATCTGCCCATTCGGTTACGATCCAAAGACATAAATTACAGTCAAAATACTTTAATAGATTATGAACCAAAAGAATTTAGTGTAATATAATTATTATCAGGTGATATTTATTGGTAAAGCGAATGTTTAAGATGATTTTAGTATCCCTTTATATTTTCAGTGTTTTACTATTTTGTAATTAATCCTATCGATATGGAACAAGACTCAAAACTCGCCACTGGGACACTTTTAGGATTTATTATTACTGTTGGTTATGGTGTCAGTACTCAAGTCAGATGTATCATTACTCTTGTACTGCCTATATTTTTTGGACAAAGTGGACGGTCTTATGTTGCTGCCTTTGCTTTAGTTTATATTATTGGAGGTATAGCGTTTAATCCATTTATCTTTCAATCTGGTGAAAATGCAGAAATGAATTTTATTTTACGTGGGTCACTCCAAATGTCATCCATGATCTGATGAAGTTCTGGCGTAAGATGATTTTTGAGTCAAATATCCAACCAATCAAATCCGTTATAAAGTTATTCATATGTTAGATGAATATATATAATCTTAAGATCATAGTTCGCGAGTGTACAGTCACCAGCGGAACAAAAAACTTTTGATCAAAACGTTCTTCCATAAAGCTTGCAGGTCCTTAATCAATGAAATTGACAAACTAAGATCTGTAACAATGGCTTCCATAGGCTATCTTTCGTATCTTTTCCCAGGAAAGTAAGCTTACGAAATCTCAAATACTTGATACCGCACGTCAACTTTCTCGGTGATTTATTTGATTGGTCAAAGATTCAGTTGGAGCAAAGGGTGCATCAGAACAAATTCTAATGACTTTCTGGCTGATCTTTTATACACCATTTGCTTAAACATTTCTAGATCTAAAAAGAGTTATTACTCAGGTCCGTAGCCAGATTTAATTGTTTGGAGGGGCAAGTAAAATATCCTGAGGTGCAATGGAATTGACCGGTTGTCATAATTTACGGACATGTTACTGAGAATTATGAAATGATATTTGGTTTAGAGATGTATGTTGGGCCGTTGTTGTGATGATACAGCTCAATTTTTTCTTCCTATACAGGTCCTGTATCTAATCTTATAGTAAATTCAAGTGAAATGGTTCGATCTCTCAGTTGTATAACTCAATTGATGGCGAACCATTCAGGTATTAAATTCGATTTACGCTTTAAACCCATGAAGGGTTCACTCACAGAACTACAGGTTTGTATTTAGGCTTAAGGTCACCCTTTCAAAGAATTTTCCATTTCAACGTTTTCTGTAAAAAAAATATAGCACATATTTGGCTTCTCATGAAGTATTTCAGAGCAATCTCTTTAAGTGATTCAGTAAGAAAAGTCGACGTCGGACAAACGAACTGATTCTGCCGAAGGAAATGACGCAGTGTCCTCATTCCTCTAAATTTTCCTCTAGATTTTGACGAGGCAGTTTGAACTGAACTTGAGATATGATTATTTTTTTTTCTAGGAAAAAGGATTTGTGACTAAAGGTGTCGAGAAAAAATTTACCAAGGCTTTTGAACCAATTGAAAAAGAGGTAAGACGGACCATTTCTGTGTGGTCTTATGATGACAAGTATACATATACTTAAGCTGATGATGACAATTTGAATTGGTCTAGGACTCCATAAATTCTAATCTTATATCTAATTGAATCGGAAATAAAGGTTCAATAGTATCCGTTCGACAGATTTGAGCCCTTCATAATTAGTTGATTTATCTCGTTTTAATTTATTTTTAAATGAGACGTAAATATACGAGGCAATTTACTGTATATAATATACTACCCCCGTGGTTGACAAATTGCAAAACTATTTATTATTATATGTTTTACCGGTACCAAACATCTTGTGCTATTATGTACTGTCATATAGAAACTTCATTTTTTAATCCAATTGACTGCTATCCTTGTGAGTGCTTCCTGTACATTGAACAGACCAGGCTTACTTTATTGTCTATTGCAGTCAATGTATCTGACGCTGTAAGTTTTAGCTTGACATTGTCAAGATGATGATTTACATGACTGTTTTACTATTTTATCTCAATGTAACTTATGTTATCACAATACTAACTTATCTATACAAATATTAATACGATTTATGTCACTTTTCACATTATCTACTGTTTTATAAAACACTGAACGGAAGTGTATTTTGGTGCAGTGTTACACCATGGTGCTGTCGGTCAAGATCTTGTTACATTTTGCAGCTCGAGGACCAAGCTGAAGTAAGAGGATTGAAAGCTGACAACGACAAAGCAGATTCGTTTACGGGAAACGCTGTCACGAGAAATGAATTACTGGAAGAGAAATATAAAAAAAATCCGGGAAAAACGGAAGATAAAAAGGTAGAGAGAAAATGGGAGAAGAAGTTGGATTATAGATGTGAAGGTATATTTTTATTATGAAATAGATATATACTAAATAAATAGTTTAGCTATGTAAACTCGCAAAGGGGTGAAAGTTGACATACCCAGTCGTAGAATGGCATCTGGTGTTTTGAAAGGGCGGGGCATGGGTAGCCATAATCTTCCATTGCATATACCAAAACTGCTGCAATAATAAACGTTTCATACTGTCTGATGCTTTCAAATATTAAACTCGACGAAAATTCTTAAACGATCATTTTTTCGTAAGTATGGCATTTCTAGATGTAAAATTACTTTTCACAACTTCCAAAAAAGTCGTGTACCATTTCGTGTGCGATCTAAAACGTTTGAATTTCTCTAAAGTGGCCTTTACACCATGTAGCGGTCACCAATTGCGTATAGTTGCGAATAGCGGTCATAAGTTTCGAACGCAACTCTCATGCAACTCAATTTTGAGTTGCTTTCAAAGCTCATGACCACTTTCATTTGCAACCATACACAACTGGTAATCACTATGGTGTGAGGGCACCTTTAGTGAATTTAACAGAACTTAACCCTATGGAGGATTTTGTTTTCTTCAGATGTGTTTAGTCAAGGTGTTTTGAGATGTAGAAAGTGGTTTGCCAATACCTATGATAAATGCATGGATGAACTATCAGTCGCCGGCTATCTTCTCTGTTGGCCAATGAAGCTGGATTTTTTCTGTGAATTGGTGAATTGTAAGTCATCCTTTAATAGTATTTTGTGATATATTTCATGTACATGTACTTATCTTTTCATGTTTTCGTTGAGTGACTCTGAAACACCTGATATCGCGACAGATATGACAGATTGACAAATTTCCCCACAATTACCCATAATGTTGCATTGGAAAGGTTTGCCACTACTAGATCAACTGGTGAAGTTAGAGACATATTCTCTGTATATGCAGGGATGTGGTTTCTACTGTATTTACAAGCATATGGCTCATCCTTGTCTGTAAACAAAATATAAGTTTGTTTTTTTGTGTAATGAATTCGAATTTTCGGTAGGAAATAATCCAACATCACTACAAGTGCTTATAGATACATTTCCAGTTTATGCATGCAATTAATCTGTAACTTATCCTTTTTAAAGCTACCCACATGTCGTTTCTTGTAGTATTACCAGGAGCATTTGGATTGAACTGTGATTCAATGAAGGTAGTGAATCCCGGAGTGGGAGAAACATATATGGCATCCAAGGAAATGGCAAACGAGTTAAAGTCCAGCATGGATGTTAATTTACAATATAAGGTAAGCAAGCATACATCTGTCATATCGGCAAGGCTATATGTCGGTTACAATGTCTAAAACTTACAAGGATTATACAGATATATTCAATTCGGTTATGATATTGGTGTCTGAAATGCGGTTAACTGTACTGTTAATGACGGTTTGGAAAATCTTCGTAATAATGCCTCCGGCATGCTTCAATAACAAATCGGGAAAGCCTCCATAAAGCGGTTTACATATAGAGCTTCTAACAGAAACATATTGAATAATAATTGACTATTATCTATAATTACCAGTATATTGATTAACTTATTGATAATAATAAGATCTGGTTTGTTTCTAACTAGATGATTGAAACACCAATGGATTTGAATTATATGACAGCCGAAGAGGTCAGAAAGAAGACCATATATGCCTTTGAAAAAAAGAAGAAAGTCGTCAAATTCCTTCTGCTCATAACTCAACGATTACTTGCTTTTACCTTTATCTTGGTATTTCTAAGGTTTGTACAAATTAGTATGAGGTATTATGGAATCGGCTCGGGAGCTTTAAAGTTGCTTGCTGGCTTGGTTTATTCCCGAGGTAAATGAAGATAGCAATACGTTTAAATCTTTAAATGCATCTTAGGAGATGGAAATCACTATAAAACAGGATCTAGTTTTTTTGAATATCAGAGGCTGTAATAGATGCAGATGTTTCGAACTATTTGCTAACACAAAGGCTGACTTGGTTGAAGTGTTGTTTGACCAGAACGTGCTGAATTCGGGGCAGGTGCAATGATGTTTTAAATCGTAAAGGGATAGGCTTAATGTAGTATTGGATCTAGAATTCCAATTTATCATAATCAGCACCAATGTTGTATTGTCATTCAATTTATACAAGTTTTAGTTTATAAAGTGTGCCAGACAAGTAGGGTGTAAATCTCCATTTCTAACTTTCCAGTGCTTATCAATACCATAAAAAATATTTGTCTGATTTTCGACACGATAATAATTATATAAGTGGTTATTTCAAACGTATTGATGCTCGACGTAAAGCAGATGTAAGTATCTTTATTATATTTATTATTCCATTCTTTTTGTACCAATTTGGCTTGAAGATGTTTGATACGGACTTCATTCAATCTTTAACGATTATAATGAAATTTAACATCCATATGGCTTGACGTCGTAAATCTGTAGAAATTTGGTTAGATTTCGCGGTAGGGTTCGTTTGTCAACATAAAATATTATTTTCAGGGAAAAAGTTTTCTTCTACCACTGAAAAAGCTAGAGAAAAAGGAAGTAGTATACCCTACCTCTTGTAAATTACAGAAGAAAGAAGCGGGAGATTTGGTAAGTTTTGCTGAAACTTGTCCTGATATGAGTAAAAACACACTTAGTGAAAATATGTGCCAATATACTATTTTCGTACAATTCAAGTACTTCTGACGACTATTTACCGTCATCAACCCAAGAAAATGGCGAATCCATCCCTCCCTCAATGTAATTAATCATAAATGATTATATTCTACAGATTAAAGGTACCGTCACATTATTCTTTCGAGTGTTTTTAAGTATTATTATTGTCATGTTAGATCATCTATTGTATACTGTCTTGTATATCATTGGTAAAAACTGTAAAATAGATTACAAACAAACAGGTTAGTTCATTTTTCATTCCAGACCCCAAAAAGGTCACTTTTTGAATTTTTGTGGATGTAGTATAGAAAAGTATAGTATATTGTTTGTAGAATAACATGAAAGTCAAGGTATAAGTACGAAGTTCACAATAGCTTGACATTGTGAAGATGCCTTGAGTCGACTTTGCAACTGACAGAATCTGGAGCAACGGACTATTCAATGACTGCTAGCAACGTGGAGAATCTAGGTAGTCATTAGATTAAACTGACCTGCAACTTCCTTTTTAGAACACTTGGCCCAGAAGTACACAGTGATTTCTATTTTCAGGAAGCCACCATATTGATTTGAAAGTTTATGGCGAAGGATTTATGGGCGACATTGTAAGATTATTTTTATCATCTTTCAATCAAAAACACGACATCGATCAGATAACATCTAATGCAGGTCGGTTATATTAGGTTTTTGTCTTCCGCTTTAAGAACTGTTCTACACAGTGCCCTACATTTATTTACACTCAACTTAATTGGTCTTCCAACTGAATGTCTATCTGAAAGTATTAACACTTTTCGTTCTTATTATCAAGGCGACCAGATTAAGAACCTTCCAATTCAAACATTAATATGAATATGAAACTTGCCAAACAAGTTAATGATCCACGAATGATCTGGATATGGTTCACTCAAAATGAAATCCATTAAAAAATGTCTTAAGATAATTTACGATGACAAAGGCTATAACTCATACCCTTTTATCTAGGGAGTTCCCTGAACATTCACAGACATTTATAGACAAATATTAGACATGTAGCCCCCAAATGTATATATAAGTAACATTTAGTGAATCATGTCGCTAAGGGAGATAACTAAAAAAACGTTCGTCGAAATATCACTCAATTCTAACATAGCGATGTACAGAATCATTGACCTAAATGGTATGTAACCACTAAAGATTTAAATCAAGATTAGGTCGGACAAGACCACGGTCTTGGTGGATGCTAAATTTTGGATTTTTGTTTAGGTTCTACGCTACTACTCGTCTATCAGTACTTTGTTATTTTATTGTATTTCAGTTTGTCTACCTTATCCTTCCAAGGCTGATAAAGTTAAAGTGACCATGATATTCTCTGTATATGCAGGAATGTGGTTTCTACTGTATTTACAAGCATATGGCTTGAGATTGAGAAGGGTCATAGGTGGATTTTTTTACAGAAAGGTAAGGAAAGCAGTTTCTCACTGTTCTGAAAAGATAAAGTAATTCTATTGACATCTATATATAGTTTGATTAGCTGTATGACTGTATTGACATCTACCAATAGGTTGAGCAGTTCTATTGACATCTACCAATAGGTTGACCAGTTCGATTGACATATATCAATAGGTTTACCAATTGTAAAAACATCTATCAATAAGTTGACCTGTTCTATTGACATCTATCAATAGGTTGGTCAGTTTTATTTGCACCTACCAATAGGTTGACCGTTCTATTGCCACCTACCAATAGGTAGATCAGTTCTATTGGCATCTACCAATAGGTTGATCAATTCCATTGTTATGTCATCAAGAAAGATATTTTTTATTGATATCTCAAACTAGATTGACCAGTCCTATTGATATGGTAGATTAATTCTATTGACACACCTCAGTATGTTGATATGATCTATTTACATCTACCAATAGGTTGCTCAGTTCTATTGACATCTATCAGTAGCTTGATCAGTTGTATAAACTGCCTGTAAGTTAACAGATTGATAGATTTCATGATTTAATGCATGTTTTCTCCTTTTTTCAGCGTGAAAAACGAAGGACTTTATATCTTTATAATGACATGTTGAAAAAAAGAAAGGGATTTCTTAAAATGATGAGACATAGAGTAAGAAAGCAAGTGAAGGCTCAAGTATTAAAAGTAAATATTATCAATATTTGCCTACTTTCAAGAATTGCTAACAAATAGAATTTGTTTGTGCTCTATGAATACGCTTAACGTTTAAATTAGCTTTAGTAAGCACTATAGAAGCTGAAATTAACTGTATGAATCTGTAAAGCCTACGTATATCTCAATTAATTTACTTTTGCTGTATCATTGCTTTTGCCTAACAGTTACGCCCTATCATCAGGCCTATAGCCAGACTTTACTGTCGGAGGGACATTTCCCCTTCCCCTCTCTCTGCCCCCTGTATATAGGGTCTGCATATCACGAGGGACGAGATATGATTATTGTGTGGATGTATGTGCGCAAACAACCGCTTGTTAATTTATTAACGGTATTTAATGTATATCTGATGTTTCTTTCCGACATGTGTGATAAAAATAACTATAAGTTATAACCATAAATTGATGTACGTTTTTGTCTATCCTGTAAGATTTATGGGGATTCCTAACAAAACGACATTTATTATATTCATACAACAAAAGAGGCGCAATTTTCTGTCTAAATGGACTAAAATAGGCTTGAATTTTGGACAAAAAAAATCAACCTATGAGCCGTTCTGAACGCTTTCCAGGCATAAAGAATTTACCGGGATCAGCAAGACACGATTTCTATACTGAATAGTCAATATTCCGACGTCACTCTTGAGGATGGATATTTAGTCTGAACAAATAATGCTATATTCTTTTGGATTTTTAACTATCAGGAACCCATTGGTAAAGTTTGATTTACTAATATGACGAATAAATACGTAGAATAAAATTGCAGACAGTCTTTAGTTTTGCTCGTATCTGGTTGGTATTTATTTTTATTACAGAGAAATACCAGCATAGTGGTATCATTAAAGAAAGAGTTCCCCAAATTATGTTGTTGGTTAAAGCTAGTATCTTCTAGTAAAGATGTGTGTTTGATATGTGAAGATAAAGAAGGTTCTGGATATCATAAATGTACTACTCCAAACTGTAATTTTGGTTATTGTGGAGACTGCTGGGAAGATATTCAGGTATCCATTACTGACTCTACATGAAAATGCCCGGCAAACTCATAACTTATTTATAAAGGACTTTTTTCTATCATAAGATAAAGCAATATCTTTGCTCTGATTGTCACTATCCGAAACAGTGCAGCTTAAGATAACCGCAATATTCACAATCTCAAACTATTGCGAACTTCGTACTTAAAACCTTTCTGTCGGGGGCTCTGATTGGCTGTATTCGCTAGCGCACAACACAATAAAAACGCCCCATTAACAATCTTCCATGATATGGAAGTCAAGGTCAAGGTAAAAGTACACAGCTCGCAATAGCTTGACATTATGAAGATGGATAACTGAAGACATACATTATCACCAAGCATAGTTCTTTATAAACATGTAAAAGTTTGTATTAGTTTATTTGCAACAATTTTATAATATAAATTGTTTTTTTGTAGGAAATATGCTATGCCTGTATGAGTAAAGGCGATAGTGACTCTTCAGGTTCGAGTAGTGATTCTTCAAACAGCGACATCGAATAAAAGATCAAAGTTGGAAGAAACCATACACCATAGTATAGTTCCGCGGGATTTTAATTGGTTGTCTTCCAGAAACCTTGAACACTGTTTCCGGCAAAAAACATACACAACGAATTTTACCAGCAATGTGTTCACGGGGTCTATAAGATAGTATGTGAATTGTGTCAGTCAGCAACTTGGTCTAATTAAAATTAATTAACCTTTTGAACTAACTCGATGACGTCTGCTTTGGCCAATTAAATTTGTACCCTCTCCAGCGTTGGTATTTTGTGACGCAGTGTTTATGTTTGGGTCAAAAGGCCAATAAAAAAACCGGACGAAAGTTGGGTCTGATTTTGATTAGACTGTGTAAGATATCGTTACACCTTTTACACCAAGTTAGTCTGTATTACGAGTTCGGTTTGTCTGTCTTCGTTTCTACCAGGTAAACATGATCTCATGCAATGTTCGCCAAAAACCATGATCTCTGAAAACGTTTCTTGCTTGCCCTTTTTTCGCAAAATCCTGAATAAATCCAGTTTTGAGAAAACCTTCTGGATTCATGGAACACTTTTTCTTTTAAATCTGATAATCTGGACCAGAACTGATCTGCCCCTTTCAAACTTGTGGTTCAATAGATTTGTTTTTGTTGATTGTTCTAGCAACAGTTTTTTGTCAAAATATACCGGTCACAAATTTCTCAAAAAAAATTACTGAAATAAAGGAAACACATTTGAATTTTTCAGAAATCGTCGGCAATTTTTTGCTGACAGTTTTTTTCAGTAATTATAAGAATTAACGTGGTAGAACCACGAAAGGTTATTAGTATGTTTAAACTATCATATTTCATGTATACGTTTGTTTATATTTTATTATAGAAATAAAAGTCTCCTTTCATACTCTCCATAACTATACATTACCAGTTTCCACTTTCTCTTCTCAAAAAGCTTATGCATGTCTGTGAATTGCATTGCCTTTTCGGTAACAACATACGCAATAAACGAAATTGCAGAGGTGCGGAATCGAGGTCATAGTTTCGCATTTTGGACAAGATCTCCAAGATAGGATCGCAAGCCAATTTTCAAACACGTTGGATACATTCACAATAACCTCTAGGACAATAGCTACCAGAGCACATTTCAACACAGTATTTATCGGTTATACCAGCTCGAATAGATCGACATACTTTAGTTGGTTTGGGAGTAGTTGGTAAAACTTGTAAGTCGGTACAAGCACACAAACATAAATAATACGGACAGAATTTATCCGGACAGTTCATTCTACACCAGTTATCAGTTACGGACTTATAAACACTAAAACATCTATAGTTGGGAGATTTTGGCAGACATTGGGTAGGTTTTGTTGTGGGTTGCTGCTGTGGTGAAGCTGGTATGACTGGTGTTGGAGATATCTGATTATGTCCATTGGTTAAATCTTTGGGAAGAGTTTCCTGTGCCGACGATGCTGGATGAGGCATGGTGGTCGATGGTTGTATATGTTTTGTGATCGTTACAAATACGGTTGATGTAGGACATTCACTATTAAAGCGTGTGA